GTAGTAACATTTGTTAAGGTTGGTTGGCCTATCTGCGGAATACATGACACGATTTTATCGGTTATTAGCAAATGTCAGAGCAATGATATGAATAGTCGAAATCGGATTATTATCATATGACTATGGATTACTAGAATAATAGATTTACTAATTATCTTCTTCAATCGATCCTTTTTTCCTTCATTTACGTTGTATATAAGGAAAACTTCTACGAAATTTGTTCTTTGTGTTTCCGTGACATGGTATAATGGACAAAGATTGAACTGGTGACCGAGCTAGCAAGATAAACACTGAGACTTACGCTTTTGTAGCAGCATAAATTGCGAAGAGAGGGTGAGAAGGAACAACGGTCGCGGCTCCCGAACCGATACTCACAACCGCGCCTTTCCTCCTTTGGACCATCCCCGGAACCACCGCTCTCGTAACCCTGGCAGTTCCCTCCACATTCACTCTCACAATCTCCCTCCACACTCGTTCCTCGACCTCGTGGAAGAAGCACGCGCCGGGGTACGTAATCCCCACATTGTTTATCAAGACGCCAATATCTAGACCTCGTATCGCCTCCTCGATCGACCGAACGTAGGACGATGCGTCCTTGGAGAAATCCACGGCCACAATCCTCGTCTCGATGCTGGGAAAGCTCGTCTCGATCTCGTTCGAGACCGTCTTGAGCTTTTCACGGTTCCGGCTCACGAGGACGAGGTTGAGCCCTCTCTGGGCCAAGTGGAGGGCGAAGGCTCTGCCGATGCCGTCGGTGCAACCGGTGACGAGAGCCCAAGGGCCGTACTTGACGAGGTCTTTGGGGGGGTCTGAGGAAGGTGGAGTGAACCCATTGGAGGAAAAAGAGGGCGTGCTTGAGGAGGACGAGGAAGCCAAGAGATGAGAGAAGGAAAATCCATGGATCTTGTGCTTTGTTCTCATGAGGGTGATCTGTGCATGCCAAGTTCATTGCGCATGCGTTTGTGTCTGTGAAAATGAGTTAGCTAGAGGGAAGCGTGATTGAGCGCTAGAGCTTAAATTTATAAGGAAACAAAACGTTCAGGACAAGAGAGGTTGTTTAGACTCGTTCTAACGAAATAATTCTAATGATATTTAAGAATATATACTGAGAAATTCAACTTTTAGAAGCGAAAATGGTCATTATAGTGTGATTGATACAAAAAGAAAGAAATTATCTCTGACGAATGCTAATAATCATCGCAATATGCTTCAATTGGAAACTCTAATTTTGTCGCTTTTCAAGCTTACAAAAACAAAAGGAAACTTAATTTTCGAAGGTAACTTTGTTGAGCAATATAGCCTGCACCGTCAGTGTAAAGAAATGTTGCGCATTTGACTTAATTCACCCTTGAATCGAGACAGTGACTAGTTACAATACTTAAAATCGATGGTGGACCAGACAGTTCGTGGAAACTTCCCTTTACATTGATAGAATATGCTCTAGTGCTCCATCTTTATTTTGCTTTTAAAATTGTTGAACAAACTTCTTTACCTCCATAGAAAGAGGGGGCAAAAGCTCCTTGAAGAAAAAAGTTTTCAGAACGATATATATAAGCATTAGTTAGCAGCATAGGATACACTATTGTTTTTTTTAATCTATACTAGCACATAATCAAAGACCTCCTGTTTTAGGGAATATCAACTAGTTAATTTGTAAATATATTGTTTAAGGAGAAAATGGGTAATTTAACAATTCCAATTTTTCTCTCACATATTTCAACATTGCAATTTGAGTAATTTCCATCTCCAAACAACCTCCCTAAGAAATTCTCAAATCTTGAAACACGTTTTACATTCCTCATATATATGTACAATTATTCTTGTTGTATACTGTTGTTAATGATTTTTTCCATTACTTAATGAATCAATTCTTTTTCTAATAAAGTGCTCTACTTAATTTTTTAGATGTCATTTTTTTGCCAAATACAAATCATGTGTGCACATTTTCTAGTTATGCCGAAAAGTTTCCCTTGGGAGAATAATTTAAAAGAACGCGTGCATCTTCTAAATTTATAGTACTGTTCTCCAGGAAAGAATTCCTAAAATAGGAGTACTTCGTACTTGGACAGCCTACCGATGAAAAGTTTCAATAAATAAGCCTCGGTGTTTTTTATAGCATGCACTAATTTGCGAGAGAGTTTCCTAACTTTTTCATCTCTATCAAATGCTTTATGGCTCCAAATTTTATTGGCAAAAGTAATATTTGGAATAAAATTAAAGATCTTGACCCAAAAAGAAAAGAATAAAATAAAGATTTGTCTGCCAAAAAGAATTAAAAATTGTAAGAATTACAGCGATTCTTTTCGGCTAATTTAAAATTACAAAGATTTGCTCACGGTAGAAACTTACAAAAGCTCAAAGGACTTTGAAGCATTTATATGATGAAAAAGCGCATCTATGATAGGTAAAATTCGAGTCTATGGAATACTTAACCTCAGATAGTAAGATACAAGCCGATGCCCGAATGCATAGTGTGAAATTTTGCGGGACCACAGTCAACTGTATGAAAAACCTGAATTATTAGATGAAGGCCTTATTTAAAACTAATTACTTTAACACTTCCCCTCAGTTAACAGATGGACTTTGGCCTAAGACTGAAAAATGTGGAAATATTCCATACGGGAGGCAAATAGAGACTTAGAACAATTTGGACTTGAAAATTTTTTCTCTGTGGTACCTATTGTTTTAAATGTTAGATGAAAGTGTTGACTAATATATTTAAGTTCATTAACACATAGCCCTAACACAGTATTGTTTGCACTCAGTGACGTGGCGATTAGGATTTGCATCGTGAATCTAATCCACACATATTCGTTCATTGACTACAAAGTTTGATTGAGCATTTTGATGTCTACAGTAAACGGTTCTTTAGACATATGCACAACCTGCTCTGAATGGCGAAAGATGTCTCGAGTTTTCAACAATAATGAACCACATGTCCGAGTGGAAAAGCTACGCCGTGTGTATATAGTACTGGAGATTGCGAAATTGAGTAGTTCGGTTCACGATTCATGCAGCTCACTTGCATGTCCTGAGGAAGTCCTTGCAAGACTAGGACAGAATTTCGATCGCATACATGAGGGGCTGATGGAAAATGATGGGAGTTGTTGATTTTCACATGATTCTTCTGAATCCTTCAAAGCAAACCCCATTCCATCACTCATCAGCAACCCTGAGGCGACTTGTAAGATTGGTGAAAGGCATTGAACGATCTCTTGTGATGTGCACAGAACAGGGAATAGGACCACACAACAAGCCTTCAATGTCAGGGGTACCAAATTTGGAATGCCATGCACTCAAAGTTGTACTTTTGAAATAGCAATAGAGCATTTTCAGCTATCAAATAAATTGCGTGGCCATGATATTGAAAGATGTGCACATTTCACCCAACGAAATGATGATTAGGAGGTAAAAAATTAATGAGGTTAGCTGGAACGGTTGATGACTAGGGTTTCCTTTTTTTTTTTTATGTAAAATCAACTCTTGCGCACAAGGGTCAAGTTCATCTTCCCGTGGGTTCGAACGCAGATCATTCATCTTCTCGCATCCGCTATTGATTATTCGAATTTACGATTATGGAGAGGTCATCACTCGGCATCATTCACGGCCCATTGATCAAAAGTAGGCAAGTCCCATCACTGTAACCCCATGTTGAAGTGCTAAAGGTCCATAACTCATATGCCTAAGTGAGATGCAAATAAATGAGATACGCACCATCATTACGACCGAGTTCAAGTGTTGATCTTGCATTTCAAAATACCAATGTTTTGGATCACAAAACCATTTTGTTTACATGTGTCGGATTGGATATAGATGTAACTACGTTTCACTACAATTAAATGGCATGCACAACTCTATTTCATAAGTTGAATTACACCATTTTCTTCCCCAAGAACGAGCCTTGATTGTAGACAAGGTCACATTGCATCTTTGCATCTACAAGGTGCAATCAACACTTGTGGGGCCAATAGCCCTTCTTGGAATGTCTATGCCAAAAGTAGCCAAAACCTTTCACGCGTGTCCAGTTGGAGGTTGGACTTCAATTATCACCTAGTGTCTCATGAATACCTAGTGTTATGGCCCCAAATTATGGGTACCCGCTCATGTTATAAAGAGACTTTCGCTTGCCGTTTGCCTTGGCCTTAGAAAGTTACAACTTTCATGGAAGAATCGTGTTTTCCTCTATTTCTAATTGGAGGAAGTAAGTTTCCCTAACCAGTTTTCTGATTGGTGAGTTACAAATATGGATATCACCCGTATTTATATATGGTAAGTTTGCATATGGATAATAGCCATAACTTTTCATCCGCCAATCAGAGGCATGGAAACTCATATAGCTACCACTCTTATTATTTTTTTCCTTATTGTGCTACAACACGATGTAGAACATCAGGATAAGACTCCATGAGCTTTCATTGTGCTTGTTTTTTTTTTTCTGTCTAACAATGGAGTTCCGAGAACTCTTCAATTTGTTCTTTTAGCTACATACTTTGATGGCAGAGACAATGGAGCTATTTTCTATCTGTTTCGCCAGGTGATATGCTTGAAGTACCTAATTTGATTACGGGAATTTGCTAATAAAAGAGAAGTTACATATCTCCAGTTGACAGTTCATTATCGTGGGAAAGAAAACACTAACGAAATCATTCATAATATATGATCAGTAATGCATGAGCAAGGGAATGACTCTGTATTAACTATCTAGAAGAAACAAGTAAATAAGGTTCACATTTATAGGACATTGATGTACATATGATACAAAGAGCACTTCAAACAAGTGCTGATGAGAAGCGCATGTTTATGCTTGCCTTGACTTGCAGTAGATGCACTTGCAAGCACCTCGAGCGACGTACAGATGAACCAATCATTAGTAAACTATCCAAGTCAGATTAGCTAGGATGTTTAATTCCGACACGCGACCAAAGTCGTTGGTCAGGTGATCGACTCTCTCTGTAGTATTATATAACCTTGTGTATGAATTGCTATATCGTGTGCTTCCCTTTCCCTTGTATGCCATCACTCTAGCATTATTTATTGTTTCCATGCTGTATAGATGAAAGCCATGTCAGAGGCTGCATTGGACACGAATAGCTAGATTGCGAGTGAAGAGAGATGCTCATTGACAATCTCCGGTATTTTCTTTCCCCTTGGCTCAAATTGGATCTGTATGTCCACTACTGTGGTCTGAGTCCTTTGTAAGATATTCCTGGTGAAAGGGGTCGTCTGCGCTACGTACACCGCTCAATCTAGGGGAGAAGTTCCAACCGGTCATTGTTTCCATCTCATGAGTGTCCGATCTCATGCTTGCTTCCTCTTTAAACTTCAAGAAGAACGTGGAAGACCAGTAATCTTTCACCAAATTCTTCAAGAGCAGGTTTCAAGAAAAGGACAAAACCATCCTTAGAATATGTACTAACAAAGGGAAAGGAGCTGATTTGTTTTTTTTTTCATTTCCAAATACACATAAATAAGAACATATTGGACAACGTACCATTTTCATGAGCTGCAGCAATTCATTTAGCGCATTGTTGAAGAGATCAGGATGTGCTAGATTAGAAGTCGTCAAAATATCTTGTCGGCATCGGTAAGATATGTTAATCTCCATTGGTGCACCTGTTTAAGTTCAGCAAAAACGTGAGCCAGGAAAAGCTGAATGATCAAGCCAAACACGAATCACGATGTATGCACTCCGACCATTGCTTTAAAGACTGCAGTATAAGCATACAGAAACAAAATGGCCAGTATGAGCTCAGACTTCAGTCAGGAGCAGTACTTGATCAACTTCGACTCTTTTTGTAGCGACTTTTAACTTCTGGCCTTTTTTTTTCCAAATCTTAAGAGTTCACAATTTTCCTTTTTCTTAATTTAAAATATGTGAAACCTTTATTAATGGTCTTCTATTGAGATGCCAATTTATATATAATTTTTACATAATTTTGGAAATTATGATAATCTTGGGAAATTAAGAAAAGATACCTTTGACTTTTCAGAAGTCCAAGCAAACAAACTTCATAGAACTGTTCAGTTCTACATTTCATGAACTAGATAGTTCTCCTTTGCATAAAGTTTGAACTACTTTATCACATTCTGTCGCAATTTCTCTGTTCAGACTAAGGCAACATGAAGAAAAAATGGCTATAGAAATTCCGAGTCTACTTGCCAGATGACAGAACTAGACTACATATTCGAGCACACACATATCTGTTAGTATTTTCGATATAGGAAGCGAGTGAACTGAAAATGCTCCAGATGACTCTAAAACTGGATTCCTAATGACCTGAGTCTAGAAACAAACTTTTAAAGATCACAACTGATGCTTGGGCCAACCAAACAAACATAGTGAAATTGTGTAAGTAAGAAGTATCCATTACCATCTTTTTATTGCTAAACAAAAGTTTATATTACCATGTAAATATTATACGTAATAAAACTAGATTTGATGCATAGCTAAGAGTCAATTAAGAAAATTAGCAAATAATTGGACAACAACTTGCCCCCTCTAGCTGTCCCCCTTAACTTTTCATTTTTTCGCTCGTAGTTCATTATTATACTTATTTTCATGCAGAGAACTCTATCCTTCCATGCCAGTCAATAATCTATGTGAACTTTACGATTAGATTAAAGAGCAGCTCATGCACTCAATGGGTTAACATCGAGAACAAATTTCCTTCAGTAAATCAGCAACCTGCAGTTATATACTTATCGATGATATCTCTGGTCATGTAGATTCTCCGCACGGAGTCATTTACAGTAATTTTACCAAGCTCATGGACATCATCATAGAAATGCACGCTCTCCCCAGCCAAACAACTGCAAGCAAGCAAAGGTAAATGTGCAACACCTTTAGTCCCCTTAAGTCGTAATGAGGAAAGATAGATGCTTGAAAACTTTTAACATTTAAAAACTTCTCTTGTCTGCCCCAACATTTGTCAATCTATTAAACGTGCAACACCCTTAGTCTCCTCTAGGCTGTAATGAGGAAAGATACATGCTTTAAAACTTTTAAAGCTTCGCTTTCTTTTAAACTAAAAGAAATGAAGTTACTTTAATGCATTTACAGGAAATTGTTGCATCAGAAAACAGATTATATACGTTGACATGTAAGTCCCGCTGAAATTGAAGCTGTACAAGACCTGGCATTTGGCAGAGAGCTTTTATTTGAGATCAATATGAGAAGGAAAAACAGACCTATCCGCGAATGCCATGAAGGACTGACGAAATCTTTTGTTCAGAAGAAGTTTATCCAGCGGTTCATTTGGATCTATAGCTTGACTTCGCTCTCTTTGCATTAGAAGACCACTGTCTGGTATTCCAAGAGCCTGACCCATTGTCTCATACTTCAAAGGTTCTCTTCTTCTTATGCTAATTTGAGACAGGAGAGGTTGTGAACTTGAAATGGAAAAGAAAGCCAGGACAAGAATACTCGACTGCAAAAAAGACATGAATTATAAGCAAATATGTGAACCTCGAGGTTGAATCTGAATATACAATTACAGAAACCAGGGGCTAAAAAAATAATGAATCGTTAACAAAGCACACTGTGACTAAAAGCAGAAATCTTGAGACGACTTGTAGCCATCCGATTTCTTCGTGGATTTCATTCAAAACATAAGCAGCTATCCATACTCCTGCATTGAAAGGAAGCACCAATCAGAAGATAAGAACACGCAGGGCAGTTTGACCTATTTTAGACTGTACAATTCCAACAAGTGCCGATACAAGGAACTAAGCAGTGCGTTTCCTATACAAATTTCAGTGAAAAGTAAAAATACAATCGTGTTAATTACTGTTGCAACAAGGCATCTGATTTCTGAGGTTTGATTTTTAAGTCAAGCTTCACATAGCATATTTTCAAAGAGACATTGGGTCAGCTTAATGAAAGGACGAGGCAAAGACAAATTATCTTTTGAAATATTATCCTGAAGAATCTTACCAATAGAAGATGCAGAGACAACTATTCCTCTCCAGAGATCTCGGAGTTCATTAAATTTGAATTCTATATGGCGAATTGCTCCGGTGAATGCAACAAGAGTGGCGACATACAACATGTGGAAGGAGACTACCGGGATAACCCATTGAGCACCCATGTGACAATGATTATTCAGAGGCTGCTTCATATGAATAACTACAGCACGAAACGAGCATTCCTGTCAAAGCTATGCAAATATCTAGACTGAAACTCTATCACTGCTCATGTGCCTCATATACTTGCAACCTATTTCTTATGGTGCTTGACAGTACATGATTCTGTTCCAAACTTTCGTAGTAAGACAGAACAAGAATAATGACCCAAGCAATGATGGAAACAATATTCTCGTTATGCGAAACATGCCATACAACAGTCACTTCCGGTGAAAGGTGTAAACTAACCATCCTCCAATGCCCAGGACAAACACAACCACCCCACCCACAAGCACACAGCAGCAAATAATTCCGCTAAAAAATGCAAACGCGTCTACTAAGGCAGCTTTCCTCATTGCTTATGCAAGCATAAAAGTTCTCTTTTTTATTCTCCCTAATGAACGGTGACCTCAATTGGATATATTAACACCTAAAGCTTCTTTTTTCTTCTAATTTCCCACAGACAACGTAATAGATTATCAACCTTTTCACCCAGGAAAGTATATTGTAAGGAGCCAATGAGTGCCAACAATCCTAATATACTATCAACCGCATATCAGGAAAAAGGTCTCCTGGCTTTCATTTGCAAATAACAATGGATGTATGATACTAAATAACTCAAAAATTGAGAAGTTCTTACAGGCTGCCCCAGCAAACCATGGCAAGAGAAATAACGGAAGACAGACATGCGACCTCATTGGTGGTAAACGCCTCCTGCAAAGTAAGCCATTTGGTGAAACAAACTCTTTTATAAAGACACGGAGTACAGGATGTAAAAAGTTAAAACAAAGCATAAAATAACCAGAATAAAAATGTGTGGATAAGAACATAAGAGTCTGAAAGTGAAGCACATCATAATGCAACGCCCCCCTTCCTCCTGATTGACTGCAGCATGACTGCTTACCACCTCCTCCATTATTTCTTGGAGAAACCAACACATAGTATTCCCTCCCTCCCTCCCTTTCCACACACAGACCCACCTCCCCTGACAGATGATATAACTCTTTGAATTTATTGCTGCAGGAGCAAACTCTAATGTCCCTTTCCTTTACACTTACTTGCCAAATATGAAATACAACTGGAATGCCTGTACTATACGACAGCTGAGCAGCAAACCAAATCCAACTGGACCTTCAATCCAAACTGAAATCACCACATGTTCAAATTGTGTATTAGTCAGACACATCCAGATAATGAAGAAAGTAATGGTGACAGCAAAACTGCAATAATAACCTGCCCAAAGGTAGCAAGACTGCCACCAATGCCTCTTTTTGAATTTCAGCAGATCAACGGACATCTGCATAAACAACATACCACAGTAAGTGCCGCTTTCCTTTCTGACGATCATAAAACGACTAGGCTGAAATTTGTAGGATATGAAATGCGCGTACAACCGTACCACAATTGATAGTATAAGGTTACAGCTGGCAAAAACTTGAAACACAGGAATCCAGAAGCCGCTCCCTTTTGTCCGAGAAAATTTGTGGATCACAAAGGGAAGGATTGATCGGTAAAGAAGCCTGAGGGCATAAGACTACTAAGTTAAACAATGATGAAGATAAAAGCACAACAAAAAGCACAAATCCATAGACAACACACCGACACCCTCTTAAACTTAGGACTTAGGATTAGATAAATCTCTTCCATCATTTTGCTGCATAATGGGCATTAGCTCCTTTTCTGCTGTGAATAATTGTAACAGGTAATTAAAAAAGAAAGAACTACTACTACAACTGTGTAATCAAAGAAAAGAAACCAAGCCAGAAAAAATTGACCACTATAACCCTCCACCAGCTACTTCAGTTGCGGGCGGCACTGCATTACACCACCACTCTGCTGAATAATAACGGGACTCCTCCAAGTCATCGTTAGACGCATTCTGCAATCTTTCTCGATCCTGTCTCATTTACACTAGCACCTCCAAAGTCCATTCTTGCAACCCTTAGCCCAAAACCCATACTAGAAGCGCCACAAACAAGTTTCATTAACACCAACTGCTTAGAAATCATTTATCAATGCTTCTAAATCCTTTCTCTACTATTTTTTTCACCTCTTCTTGTCATCATCCTCCATGTTCTCATTGAGATGAAGCTGACCAGATTTGGAATTTGGATTAATTACAGTGTCAAACCGAACTTAAAAAAAAAGTTAACAAGTTGGATATAATGGTACCAAATATGCACTAACTTCTTTTCTGTCCCTCATCTCCATGTCAACCCCGCAAACCAAATTGACTTTCCTTGGGTAGACACCCCCATCACATTTCAGCTAGATCTAAACCCTGCACCTCCAACCAAAGTGTACGTTCCACTGAATGTAGTCATTAATGAAGAGATAATTTCCCCTCCTAAATGGTTTGTTTGGACAAGCTTCAAAGCATTTTAGGTACAAACAAATCGCCCAATTGTAAACAAAGACTTACCATTCCAGACCACCCAACTTCATTGGAGAACAAATCAAGCAAAATCTGACGAAAGAAAAAACTAAATCAAAGCAAAAAAAAAGGAAAAATTCTCTTCACGACCCACTTCAGAACTGCGCAAGACATCTCTCGACAGCACCGTAATTCGCTTGGATAAACCATCATAACCTCACCCTTTTCACCGATACAACCGATGCTGACCGAAAAGCTCATTCACTTTGCAAGCCAAAGGTCGAAAATTAGCCAACCACAGAGAAAACCCAGTTCAGGGAAGCCAAGAAACCGACGTATCATTGACGTGAAGCTACAAAGAAACTCACAAGATCAAGGACAGAACAGAAATGGCGACGGCAATGTAGTCGCTGGGACAGCCCCCTTCTTTCGCGCAGCCCGCCATTGGATCCTCGGACCAAGAATCGAGCAAGAGGTGATTCTAAGTAAATCACCCGCTATACTTTCGATCATCAACCTCACGAAAACATACGTGGGACTAAGGTTGTGAGAATCTTGAACTGAGTGCGGTCTGCAAGCTCAAGAGCAGGAGGTCCATTTTTGCAGGTTTAAGGCTTCGACCACACAGGAAAATCTCGCCTGAACATTCTTACTTTGTTTAATATTAGCCCAAAAGAAGGGAGGAGATTTGCGTGTGTTAATTAGCGTAGATATTGACGTGAATACGTGATACAGGTGAGACCTAAGGAACCCGAATTTTGACTATGCACGTCTAGATTTTTTCAAAGGTTTCACGTTGATCGGTCAAGGAACGAATAAACAAGGGATAAGCACGTTAAAAATCTTAAAACTTGTCACGAAAGTGCAATTGAGTCCTAAAATTTTTAAAAAGTATAATTAAGTCCTAAAACATGTCATGAAAGTGCAATCAAGTCCTAAAACTTTCAAAAAGTACAATCGAGTCCTAAAAATTATTGCAAAAGTGTAATTGAGTCCTAAAATTTTTAAAAAGTGTAATAAAAAAAAGAACTTAATTGGACTAACCTGACAAGTTTTAGGATTTGACTGCACTTTTTGAAAGTTTTAAAACTCAATTGCACTTTGTGACAAGTTTTAGGATTTAATTACACTTTTTGAAAGTTTTATGACTCAATTGCACTTTGACGACAAGTTTTAAGACCTTCAATGCACTTATCTCAATAAACAATTTTATAGTAGGTTGGTGGTTCCATGATTAATTACGATGAATAGCACCTAGGTTGGTAGCTAGTGGTGAAGCGAGCGACATTGTCTTTCCCGAGCTCGCAAGTTCGAGGCACGTCGTGAATGAACATGTTGTGCCTTGGGCATTCTTTACCTTCTGTGCGAGAATTGCGGTGACGGGCTTGTACACTTACTTGACTGAGTAATTTTGCTTCAAATCGAACTTCGCACCGTTAAGTTAACGTATGAAAGAAATAGCATTTTAATGCAATTTCTCATGCTCATACGGGTCTACTCGGTAGTCTTCGATCATAAGTTGCTCTCATTTGTAACCATTTTTTCGATGATGCAAATACAACCTTGTCAAATCATGTTATGACAAGTTTTGAACAGAATGATATTTATACAAATTATACTTAAATGAGTTGCTCAAACTACCTCTTTAAACTCACTAAAAACATGTGATTCATACAAGTGAAGCACCATGGAGGCATTGGTGAGTACAGCCATGTCTGCTATTAATCTTGACACTCCTCATGACGTGTAAGCAAATCTTGGAAGTGGAACAAAACAATATGGCTAAGAGAGGCGAAGTGGCGAGTGGCATCAAGAGCGAAGAGGCGAAGTGAGATGTCCGTCGAGAGCGAAGAAACAAGAGCAAAGATCTGTCAAGAGCGAAAGATAGGAGATGCAAAAGAAAGAGGAGCGAGGATATTTAGAGTTTGTTTTAAAAAGGGTAAAAATTGAAATATACTTGATAGACGAGGGTAAAATGGAAAGTTTCGAAATTTTCATTAAACCAAGTCTCAGCATTCCGAAAATGCAACTTCTGAGGGCACCTCCAATCCTACATTCGACTAAAGTCCTTTAGAGGGCCTTGAAAATGCAATTGCAGCTCGCCAAAGTGAGTCAAAAAAGTAACCAAACACCATTTGCATTTGATCAAGGGACTTGAAAAGGCCCAAAATCCATTTCAAATTCTGAACCAAATGCACCCACATCAAGCATCGAAGGACTTACCATAGTAATAAATATGGTGAAAATAAGGAAGATGACATGGCTTGGACCCTTCAAGCTCCTCCCCGACGCATATCAAAGGTATACCTACATAGGCACGGTCTACGTTTGCAAATTTAGAAGCTTCCAACAGCATTCTCGCGCGCCATGATCAGTCAGGGTAGATCAAACGTGTTCTTGACGTGGAAATTGCAAGCGAATCAATCTAGAGCCAACCTCAATTTTTCACACGAAAGCATCCAAAAGTCATGGGATGATGCCAAAAGCTGAAAATCTGCTCCAGGTGGAAATTTCTATGTGGGTAGTAATTTCTCAAAATGTCAGTAGCTTTCGTATTAACATCTTTCGTTTTCTATTTTTTTATCTTCTTGAACGTGCTGGTGAAACAAGGACCTATAGAATCGCCCGCTTCAAACACTTAGAAATATTAAACCAAAAGAAAAACACACCGGTTGATAGTTATGGTGGCCTATGTACTTCTTAGGCATGTAATGGCCAAGATCAATTCAGTGCCATGAAGACATCTTCATTAACTAGCCAATCAAGATGCCTCGTAGATATGAAAACACAGTTTACACTTGGTCGAAAAGATGTCTGTCGACACATCCAAAGCAACAAATGCAGGATCAAAGTCATCAGTAATGTACAAGGCAGGAAGTGATATGCCTTATTCTCCACGGAATATGGTACCGACGATTTCTTGACAGCCCTGAACTGCCAAAGAATTTTGTATGGCGACCTATCTATAAAACTGTTGCCCTAATTTCGCACTATGAAGTAATGAAAAAAAACTATTACTATTTTTAACAGGAAAAGAAAAAACGAATTGGCATACAGATATTTCTATGATACAAATTGAAGAGAATGGGAATATTGTCGGCGGTGTCCTGGTCCACTCGATGGCAAAAGTTACAAGATGGTGCCCAACAGCCATAAATGCAAGAACAACCAATAGGCGACAAGGCCCAAGCGAGCTCCGGGTCGACTCATCAAAATCCTGCCACCCGATACCCTGCATGGTTCACATGCAACCTATGTTTATTTCTCAGTTCTCTCCAAGCATTATTCCGAGAAAAGCTCTCTCCAATAATGAAAAGAAAACTATTCAGTCTGCTTCTATTGAAAAACAAAACATGCATTTGGCATACTGGCAAGCCAAAGTGTTTCTAGGCAAAACTACTTCAAAATCATCTCTTAGTAATTTCTCCTCCATTGGATAATAAAAACATTCCAAAGGATAGCCAAGTAGAAAAACCAAAAACATCATATTCATTCCAGACAGCTCGAAGGGATAGGCCTTCAAAACAGAGCACAAAATGCACGTCATTACTGTATTCAGACGCGAAAATTAATATAGAAATTGTTTAATGTGGCTAGTATTTGAAAACCATATCCTTTCCTCTCATTATCACCGTCTGATTAAGCTTTTAGTCCTGATGAAAGAAGTTTTCATTGTGGAAAGAGAACTACGAGTGTAAGCAAAAACGAATGCAAGTCAATCTAAGTTAGGGATCTAATCACGTAGTTATAAAAGCATCTAGATCAGACAGGAATCTTCCCTAATTTTGGTGTGCCACCTAAAGAGTCTTTAAAGTAAAAGACTTTACCATATGCCATCGATCCGGTCTGCAACCAACTTCCCTTGTTTCGGAATAAGGCCTGATGTATTGAGAGACTTGAAAACGTGACCTGCAATGGAGTTGTTTTACAAGTTATACTTGGATTCCGGACCTTCTTACTCTAGATAAATAAAAAACCAATACCTTTGTCTTCATCGGTTTCCTGGTTGCTGATTAAAGGATTAGACTCCAAGTCAATGCTGAGAGCAAGATGGTCTGCTGATCCTTTTCTCATAGTCCGCGCATGAGCAGCTGAAGGAACAGGAGGCATCACCGGTTTTCCAACTGATCCCTGCATAAGCATGAATAGCGAATAATAATATGATACTGCTGACAACCAGCATATTTCAACCAGAATAGCTGGGATACTTGAAAAAAAGAAAAGAAAAAGAAGAATACACTTTCAACACAAAAAGAGCTGAAGTAGGCCTGCGCTACATCAGTGAATTTCTTTTAAGATGAGTTGCCCCTGCCTAATTCAAGTTTCAAAGGTTTTCCTTTTCTTCCTATACTGAGGTTCTAACCTAGAGGCTCCAAAGTCAGAGATGATTCCTCCCAAGGCAACATCAAAATAGGCAGAAATAATAGGACACAGAAACAGCAATAAATCATGAGCCCAATGCCCAACAAATCCAACCAGTATTCAGATGCAAAGAAATCTTTGACCAATCTGAAATGGAGGCCATGAACAGCAGCTATAAAAATGTTTGTTCTTCAAACAACAACTAAGATCTACCTACATCATCAGCTAGAACAAAAAGGTAGCTCTCTGATGGTCTACTTAAGGAAAGAAAACGTAGCATCAAGGGAGCATACCATGACCTTTTCTGGGAGTAGCTATGGGAGCTAAAACTCAAGGAAAGAAAACAAATATAAAATGAGACAATCTATAATCCATACAGAAATCTCCAGTCTTGCCTCCTAACAAATGAATATGAGAAGAGGGCCTTCAATATGACCTTTAATACTAAGACGCCCATTACTCAAATATAATAGCAAGATGCATGCCAAAATTTGTGGTTACTGTGCTCAGTCAAACCATGGTCTGAAAGCAGAATAATGTGGTTGGGTGGGGGATGAGGCAACCGTATGAATAAACCAAAGAAAAAAACATTACCACATCTTCAACTTCAGATATCTCTGAACCAGCAGGCAATGAAGGTGCTTCCTGGATGATCTCTGGTTGGGTACTTCTACCTTGAAGTGAATCTTCAAGCAATTTAACTTTACTCGATAACTCCTCCACAACCTTCTGGCTTCCTAACAACTTCATTTCAAGTTCTTGGGCTTCCGATTTAGAGTTTTCAAATTCCATAAGCACATTCACAATTTGCTTTTCTAAGGATGCTAAAAGTCCCTTTAAGCTAGAAGTATTGTGGTCTCTAACTAACTCACTACCACCAAACATATTTGTAATTTTCTCCAAAATCACTCTTAACTCTAATAAATCTCTCTTCATCTTCTCTGAGTCTTCTTCATATCTCGTATGTGTTTCAACTTCCTCCCGCAGATGCTTATTTTCAAGAACCTGGTCGGCAAGGGTGGACTGTAGCTCTTGATTATCATGTGACAACAAACTTATTTGTTCTTGCGCTCTAGTAAAACTATCTACAATATAGAATAGCTTTTTCACATGAGGAGAAATTTGGGGCTCTGTGTCTCCTCCTAACTCTTCCGAGGAGATTCTAACCCCATCGACCTTGTCCAAAAGTGCTGTCCGTTCGGATGGGGACATGAATGAACTTTCTGCTTCTAGAGAAATGGAAAAACAAATATATTATTAAGTGAGAAACAGCAGAGAGTCATAGAAACAAAAGAAAAGCTTGACAATGAGATCATGACAAAACTGCTCACCTTGTTCCTTCATCAATGAGTTACTGTGCACCTCTAAGAGTTCAACCTCTCTTTCCTTCAACTTGTCATAATCAGCTTGACAGTCCTTGAGTTTAAGCCTCAGCTCACCACATGAATTTTGCAAAGTCTCTACCTCATTCTCCAGCTCAAAGACCCTATTTTGCTTCATATCTCCGTCTTCTATGGCTTCCAAAGAAACTGCTTTCGCTTCTTTAAGTTCATTTTCCAAATTTTGTATCTTTGAAGTTGCCACCTCACTTGTGCTCTGGAACTGCTTAAGCAAAGCATGAACATTTTGAACGGAAAATAACAAATCTCGAATAGGCTTGGCATGTTTGCTGCCATCAACCTTCTTTTGATACCATTCTGCGTTAATTAGACTACTTTCTCTTTCTTCTACATAAGATCTACCTGAGGTTTCCAGCTCGGCACTAGACAACTGCCCAAGAGAGTTGCGTTCAACTTCTAGCAGCAATTTTGTGGTGGCATCAGTACAGGCAGATAATAAAGTCGCAATGTCATCTTCCAACATGGCCACTGTATTGCCATGCTCTAGCTTGTACGTTTCCATATCTTTCATATCTTGCTTCAAAGATCTCATGTCCTGAGACATAGCTTTCACATCATCACATCTTTCCTCTAACTTTTTCAAAAGCGCTGCCAGAATTTCATCTATAAATGCGGAAAAGCCCTCAAATTTGTCAACAAGAATTTTGTTTTTAAACTGAAAACCTTCTATGGTCCTTCTAAACAATGAAGAGATGTCCTCACCCACTTCATTCATCAGACCAGCTTCCATCTCAACACCCAGGCTATTGCTAAGTTCAACAGGGAACTGTTTTTTGGTGATGGGATCGTCCTGAGACATAGAAAGAGAAAAGCTACATAAGAAACCTTTGCATAAACGGTAATCAGCAGTAAAGAAGCAGATATTCTACAATACCTCATCAACAGTTTGCTTTTCTGCTGCTTCTGAATGCAAGGAAATATGTTGATCCTTTACTCTTTCAAGGATGTCATTCATGCTCTTCAGGCACTCCCATTTTTTCTCAAAGCAATCCTTCATGAGGGGATACAACATTTCGTTTTTCACAAGGGCATGAAACTCACTAAGGTAACTGACAAGTTCTAGAGACCTGCTCTCCAAACTGCCGTTTTTGCCAGCCAATTCTTCTAGACATGCATTCAACTTTGAATTGAGTGCTGATACTTCCTGGTTATATCTCTTGTTTTGATTCTCAAGCTCCAACACATTATTCTCAGCCTTAGACACTGCATCTTCCAATGATTTAATGGTTACAGAAACATCTGCCAGCTTGATTTCCTTGGTTGCAGATTCATCTTGCAGCTTCTTCAGCTCAGTCTCCATATGGCTTCTCCCAACTTCTAAATTATGGTTCTGCTCAGTTAACAAACCAACTTTCTTCTCCAGCTCCAGTGATGCATCTTCTAGTGACTTTATAGTTTGTTGTGCATCTGCCAATTTGCCAGTCTGAATGGAGATCTCCTCCTTCAGTATCTCCAGCTCCCTTTCTGCCGCAGCTCTAAAGACTTGTGCTGCTTCCTTCTCATTGGTGAGTGCATTAACATCATTCTCTGCCTGCGACAATGCCTCTTCAATGGATTTCTTGAGAGCACAAGCCTCAGTGACGCTACTAGCTTGGGAAGAAGCTTCTTCAATGGCTTTCAGCAGCTCTTTTTCAACATTTTCCTTATTGGTTTCTATTTCCCTCTTTTCTTCCACAAGCCTGAGGACATCATCCTGTGCTGCTGACAACAAATCTTCCAGAGTTTTGATAGATGCTTTGGCTTCAACTAACTTGCTTTCTAAGTCAATGGCTTCTTCTTTCAACTTTTCAAACCCCTGCCTTTCATCTTGCAACAATTTCAGATCAGCATGGGCTTCAGCTAACCTGCCAAATAAATCACTAGATTCCTCTCGAGCATTGGCCAACTCTTCTTCAGCACGTTCCTTAGCCTTTTGACAGTCATTGAGGTACCCCGCCAGCCACTTTAACTTTTCCACAGGCTCTTCAAAGACACTGTCTGCAGGAATATTGATACCATCTATGGACTCAATCACTCTCTGCAACATGTTATTACTCTCCAACAAGAACTGCTCAAGTTGATCCCGTTGATCTTTTAGGGCAACAAGGTCCGCCTCCAACTTTGGTATTTGCTCAATGTGAGTAGACATTCTGTTTATCTGATCCCTGGACTCAGTAACCGCAGATTCCTGCTGCTGTATCTCAAGCTTCAGTTTTTCCATTTCCAAGTTCTTCTCATCCAGAAGATGTTTCAAGTTTTCTCTATCTTGAACCAGCCCCTTTCCTTTCTTGACTGCCATAGATAACTTTTCTCTCAAAAGAGCAGATTTCTCTTCTGATCGTTCGAGATCTTTTTTCAAATGATCCTTTTCCTCTTTGTGTCTTTCAAATTCTTTAGACAACAATTGCAACTGATATGAAAGATTATCAACCTTCTGAGACTTTTCCAGCATCTCTTCTTCAAGTACTTTCTCATGTAGCATTAACTCCTGAACCCGCAAATATAACAGACTTTTAACTCTTTCAAATGATTCCAAATCAGCATGAGAAGGACCCAACTCAGAAGTTCTCTGTTCCTTAACCTTTTCAAAGCATCTTTCAATGAGAAAGTTGCAGTCAGAAAAGGATAGCCGTTGATAGACCCCAAGGTCTTCTTCAACTGAGATTCCAGAAGCTTTCACCAATAGCATGACCATTTGCTCCTTCTCCCATGACACTTGTTGCTCCTTTTTGACAATATCATTGTACTCAAATGTTATTTCATCCACCTCCATTTCAAGATATTCCTTCTCCACTGATGCAACAGAACATGCAGCAGTTAACCTGTCGATCTCAATGTAAGCAGTTTCTTTTATTCGAGAAATTTCACCCCATAGAGTTTCTACTTGGTTGTTGGCTTGAGTAAATGACTCCTTAAGCCAAAAAATACGGGATTCCAAGTTGGAAGTTGAAACAGATTCAGGCAACTCTATCTCAGTTAAGGAATCTCTCAATTTCTGAAATTCCATAAAAGCACCTTCCAACATATTTTTCTCATCCACAAGCCATTTATATTTATCAACAATCTCAACCGATCGCATTTCCTCAGGTAAACCAGCCTCGGAAAGAATTTCCTCAAACCGGACGAGAATCGCATTCCTCTGCAAGAGGTTTTCCTGCAGTAGTGCAACCAATTTTTCACTTTGTACCAACTCTTCCTTAGATTGTTCAGCCGCCTCTAATGCAATTGACTTCTCCTGAAGTTCCATCAAGCATCTCTCAAGCTCACTCGTCTTATCGGCCAATGAATGCTTCAGCAAGTCCCTCTGCTGCACCAATGACTTTCCTTTTGTTACAGCCATACTAAGCTTTTCTTTGACGTTAGCACAACGCATCTTCTCCTGCTCAACTTCACTTTTAAGTCGGCTAAGTTCTGCATGAGTCTCTTCTGCCAATTCTTTGTCCTTATACAGCTGTTCAATCAATTTTCTGTTTTCATCTTCTGCTTGGCTTAGTTTTCCAGCAAAGTGTGCTTCCTTCCTTTTCAGCTCCAACAACTCATTACAAGCTGCAATGATTACATCCCCCCTATCCTCGCGCATCCTAGAATCTAAAGATTCTGGAGAAACCTCAGATAAACACTGCCTAAGATTATCAATTTGTAAACGGATCCGGTTGAAATTTTCAATTAACCACGACGTTTTCCTCTCAACAAGATTTATTTTCTCGCCGACGGAACCATCCAAAAGATCTTCATGTTCAACTACTAAGGCAAGTGAATCTAATATTCTACTAGTAGCATCTTCAACATTTTGGTGATTCGTAAATATCTCGGCAGATTTCTGAGCGGAATCAGCAATCTTGAATTTAAGATCTTCCATCTGTTGATCCTGTGTAGAAAGGATAGCATGAAGCTCTCTTATCGTAGCTTCCATCCGCAAACGTTCTTCTAGTGCAGCTCTAATGAAGTCTGAACATTCCCTAAACATATCGTGTGGCGAGTACCCAGGTACATGGGCTTTTTCCTCCCCATCTTCAGATTCTGCTTGTTGATTAATCATTATATTACCATTTGCATGGAACAATGGCTGTTTGACAGTCAAACCTTTGAGCTGATGGCGAAGATCGCCAAGTTCTTTGGCATACATATCTCTTTCTTCCTGCACAATGGGAAAATCCAGCATGAGAAAGTGATGCATCAATAAAGCATGAGACCCCTCATTCTAAATATAATCAACCTTGTATTGCCTTATAGCAATTTCTTTCTCACTGACGGTCTTCTCCAACACCATTTGCAGCCGGAAGAGCTCATCCGTCGACTGATGGACCCAGGGTCCATTCTCAAGTTGGCCAAAGCTGCTCTCGCGCAAATTTCTCCTTTCCTCCGCCGCACCTCCTATTCCAGCAGTCATCATCGCTTCCCTGGCATCAGCATTTAACTCCTCCTGCGCATCAACAAACTCATCTTTTCCGGCATCGTCACCAACCGCCGTCGCTTCCTCGTCATCCGAATCCGTCCGCTCCACGTCAGCCACCTGCAGGAAGCCAGATGGACAATCGCCCTCGATTCAGCACATTCCCCAGAGCAAGTCAAACTTCTAAATACATCAACATCTCCCAAACCGTCCCCAGCAAAGAAATCTCTCAGCTCCCCTAACTCGGTCACCGACCATTCCTAGAAAAAGCCTCATGCTACTCATCCCACTCCATAATCTCCCAAGCACAAAAACAAGCAGGTGAAAATATCCTGAAGCCACAATCTGAATTTCACCCAAAGAGAGCATCCATCCGGCGCTCAATTCGAAATTCACAAACCTAACGCCATGCGCAGCTCAGCAAAGAAACCACGAGACCTCGCCCAAACCGACTGGAAATGAATCCGGCTCCCGGAAATGCAAACGCGATTCAAACTCGTTACCTGATTCACCGACGCGCCGGCGTCGGCCGCGGCGGGCTCGGAATGGAAAATGCCGTTCGGCCGCGAGCCCCAGGTGCCGCGAGACCCCCCGTCCACGCCCGATCCTCCGTCCCACGGCTCCTCCGGCGCCGCCGCCGCCTCGCTCCCGGCTCCGGCGCCGTCCTTCTCCGACATCTGGCCACCGAAACCGATCACGGGATCCGCAAGAACGGCCGATCCGTCGCAGTCTCTGTTCCTTGCTGATCTTGCCTGTGCGAGAGCGAGGGAGAGGGAATGCAGGGGACGAGATCTGGTTTGCGAAGCAGGGGATTGTAAGCGGGGAGCCGAAACGCCCACGTGGGGGTCTTCGTTTTTGGACGCGTTCGAGTGTGTGTTGTTTTATTGGGGAGTCCTGCGTTTCTGGGTGGGTCGTGGTCGTTTTTAGGAACATGTGTTTGTGGATCATCGGCCGGGACGAAACGACACACGTCGGTTGCGTGTCGCGGGCGATTGCAGGCTTGCAGCTGTCGAGCGTTACTTTCGAAAACTACCAAAAATGTCTTAAAATTCCGATTCAATTTTAAATATTCTAATTTGGCCGATTTAATCTTAAATATTTTACATTTATGCTAACTAAATCTGTCCGGCCAATTCTAGCATAAAATCGTTGATACGGATACCGGATTCTCTACATGATAGGAATGACTTGAACAAATTTTATAATTTTTTGATATTTTTCTAAATTTATTCTTTTTTTCTTTTTTATCGTGACCGGCAAATCTCTCCGATCATAGGGGAGGGTCGCAGCCACTCCCGATTGGAAATCAAGGTGGCCCTCGCCTGACCGCGAGGATCGAGCCCTCACAAGATCCACGCCCGGCGCCGGCGAGGTCGAGCCCTCGCCCGATCTCGGGCGAGGCCGGCCTCGCCCGGACGCCGGCGAGGGCGGCCTCGCCTCGAGGCCGGCGACCACTTGGCCGGCTATGGCCGACGGAGGAAGAAAAGAAAAAAAAAAATAAGAAAAGGAAAAGGAAAATAAAAAAACAGAAAAGAAAATAATAAAAAAATTAAAAAGTTAATGTTCGGTGACGGAACATTATTCAATATAAATTGTAATTAAAATGTAAATTGTAATCAAATTTGGGGACAAAAAGACAAGAGAGAAAGAGAGGGCTTGAACTTAATAAATTATCATTAAGCACATTATAATTCGTTACAACGATTTATAAAAAAAAGACACAATTTATATGCCCTAAAATGACCCCAAAACCTAAGCATTCCGTGGGGACCGGAGGTCACATGTCGTCGGATTATATTTCGGTTTCCTAAGCTCTCGCGTCGTGCGGTATGAGAAACAAGGGTTCCCGAAATATTTGCAACCTAATAGTTCTTTTACCCTCAATCGTCACTACTCCGTTCCAAGACGGTACGGTAGTATCTCCGTCGTTAAAGAATTCGGATTCACAATTCCGATCTATCTCTTGTTGCCGTATTGAGCCTCTTCGTCAATCGCAACACAAGCTTGAATCTCCACTGATTTTGGAGATAATCTTGAACGATGTTCGTCCAAAATATTACCTCCAGCACTGAATGCTTGTTCGACCGCAACCGTGGAACAAGGGGTTGAAAAAATCTATTTTGCAATAAGAGAAAGGATTGGATATTGGCTTGCGTGCTCTTCCACCAATCCAAAATTAAAAAATCAGTATCACCTTCGGATTCGCAAACTCAAATAAAACGGTTAGATAAATCTCTAATTCAGAAATATTTCCTATTACTCCCTTTTGTTTTTTTGTCTATGTAATAAAAATTGGTACCCTCTACTAATTTTACTGCATCTTGTCATTTTGTATCTCCGTAGATCGAGAAGATCCAATATCACCTAAATTATATTTAGCATAAAATTCATTATATAATTCTATTACTACATTTTTAACCTCACGTATTATGGTTGTAACATTTATCGCATCATAATGTAAACATTGATAATACGTACGCAAAAAATCATTTAAGCCATCCAATTTGCAACGCGGATAAAAAACACAAGCAACTAAATAAATAATGGGAATTTCCTATAATAATGTAGTCACTTCATTTTCATTGCAACTATAGTATGTTGCAATTCAACATCATTTTCATATTCATCAAAAATTCCGACAATATATATTACACTCTACTAAAAATAAATGTGTAGTAGGATAATAAACACCGGACAAAGTATAAGTTGCATCATTAAAAACCTTTAAAACATCTAAAATTTTTTGGCAAATATCCCACTCTTGTGGGTATAAATTAATCTCGGTATATTATTAGAAATAATGCACATAATAAATCTTTATATGCTTAAAGATTCATTAAGCAAGTGAAAAGTAGAATTCCAACGAGTTGGAACATCTCTTAAATCTTTTTGCTTTTGCCATTTTCTCTACAAAATCTACCCCATTCTTTCATTTTCTTACGGGATGTTTCCATAAAAATTGAATCGCCGTTTTTATTGGTTGAAAAAAATATCAAGAGTTTTCAAACCATCTCACACATAAATTTAAAACATGACAAGCACATCTAATGTGAAAAATTTTCATAAAGCGGGTTTACAAATATTTTCTAAATCGGCAATTGAAGCGGTATTTTTGCAAAGATTATCAAAACCAATTGAAAAAATTTTGTTAAGCAAATAATATTTTTCTAAAATTTGCCTAATTATTCTATAAATATTATTTGCCGATGTTTATCATCGAAAACTCTATATATAACTCTTTTTGAATACTCCACTCGTCATCTATCCAATGACATGTTATGCCCATGTAAGAATGATTTTGCCAATGATCACTCCAAATATCACTACCTATATGCACGCATCCATTAAATTGCATAAAAAGTTTTGTAAATCTTTTCTTCCATTTTTGTAAAGATCTTTAATTACTCGTTTAATTGAATTTCTAGGAACACGTTTTGCTTGCGGAGCACATGCTTTTTGTACAAATTCATTAAAACCAAATCTTTCTCCAAAATTAAATGCTAAATGCTCAACGGAAATAAATTTGCCTAATTCTTCCTTATAAGTTTTTTCATTAAAACGAAATAAAGGGGAAGTGTTAGGATTGACGTACCCGGAAATTTGTTGTTGCCCGATATCGATTCCCGTTTCGGTTGGATGTTTGCTCCTAAGATGTCGTTTAAATGTTCCATATCCTTGTCCACCTGTATATTTATATATTTTCCCATAATATTTACAAATTATATTATACCTTTTTTCACCAATATCAAACCTTTCCATTTTTGTGAAATGATTCTAAATGTCGATGTAAATTCCCGTTCCACTTCCTTTGTTGTAGATATTTCGGCGGGAGGATGAAAACTTTCTTGCGTCGGGACGCGCTCCACATCGGGAAAAATGTTGATTTCATCATCTTGAAAATCTGCATATTCACGAGGATCAAAGAATGATGGGATTCCGTCGCGATATTCTTACCTTTGCCAGTTGGCACTCGACTTCCACTTGCCATTTTTCGAGTGGATTGAGAGAATTGAGCGAATTAAGAAAGAATTGCGTGTATTGAGAAAATTGAGAGAATTTGAGAGAATTTCGACTATTGAGAGAATTTGAGAGAATTTCGACTATTGAGAGAATTTGAGAGAATTATGAGTATTGAGAGAATTTGAGAGAATTTATAAGAAAAAAATGAGAAGAAAATTTAGGATTAAAAAAAAAAGAAAGATAACCGTTGCAATTTTGCAGCGGTTATCTTTTTTTTTAATAGTTTTTTGCCCGTTTGGGCGTTGGTGCCGGCGGCCTTTAGGTGCCCGGCAACGGGCCGCAAGCCCGCAGATAGGGCCCGCGGGGCCTGTACGCTGGGCGCCTGGAGGAGTGGAGGGGTTTTTTTTTTTTTTTTTAAAAACTTTGCCGTTGGTAACGGGCGTTGCTAAGACCAAGGGCCGCCGAGGGGCAAAGAGGGCGGATCTGACTGTAGTCTACCGACTTTGCAGAGTGCGAAGTTTTTTTAAATGAGGGCAACCCTCCCCTAAGCAAGAGCGGATGACGAGCGTCGGTCTCGATAGGTGACCCACTCCTATCTCTACACCTCTTGCACGACTGTACGACGGGAAGAAAAGTGAGAGAAATAAAGAAAGGCTAGAGATTCACGATGCAAAAGAGAGAGGTCCTGGCCGCAGGTATCTTGGAAAATTTCAAATAGAAAAGCCGATTTTTCGAGAGATGATTGAAGGGACAATCCACGATTAAGTAAAGGGTTAATGCTAGGAGTGTTCAAAGAAATCGAGAACTGCCCGGGTCGCCCGAAACTGAACTGGATCCGCCCAGAACTGGCAGTTCCCGTGAGGACCGATCCAATTTCCGGTTCTAATTTACTAGACCCGGTGAGTACCGATCCGATTCCCAGTTCTAGGTGTAGAACCGTCCACTTGGACCGGACCGGTAATATATATAATTTTTTAGAAAAATTTCACCCAAAAAAAAAACAATTTTAGAAAAATGAAAACTAGAAAATCCCTAATTTAATACTCGACTCTCAATTCTCATCAACTCATGGCCGTGCCTTTACCAGTTCATCGCCTCCCTCTCTCACTCTCGGTCATATTCATTTGCGTGAAACTTGATGGGGTCGGTTCCATAGATCCACCCGGGAACCGGACCAGACCAGCGGTCTATGGAACCAAGAGGCGATTCCTAGTTCCAATTTCTCGGAACCGATCCTTAGTGGGCAGTTTCCAGTTCTATGTTGGGAACCGCCCGCCCGGATCACGCTCACCCCTAGTTAATATTATGAAAAATCATAAATTGATATATTTGTGACAAATTTATCTCAAGCTAATTTTTTAATCACAAAAAATCTTAAATTGGAACACATGTGACAATTTTACCATATGTTAGTTTCCATTAATTTTACCATCAAATTTTTGAATTGGATGACACGTGACAGATGACGGGTGTATTAGTTTGGGGTTTTACCTTCTGTCTGTCACAGGTGTAACATTTTGTGATTTTTCGTGATATTAATCAAATTTAACGGACGGTAAATTTGTTATAAATGTACCAGTTTAGAGTTTTTAACGGTCAAAAAATTAGTTTAGGGTAAGTCTGTCATAGGTGTACCAATTTTGGATTTTCGCTAGTTAAAAAATAGTTTTAGGTAAATTTGTCACATATATATCAGTTTGGGATTTTTTGTGATATCAACCCTTAACTGAATCATTACGATACACTAGGCTAAGGCATCACAGAGCAACAATTGACTGAAAATTCAACCAATCGCATCTATCTTACCTTGAGGAAATCTTAATGGAAATGCTATGAATGAAGATCAATTAAGGACTCTTAAGACGCTTGCGAAGATTATGCTCAACGATGATGAAATCCAATGATATAATCATTCGACAAAGAGTCTTGGCCGCAATCGATCGACTCTGATATGAGATAACAACGAGATGGGAAGCTAAGACCAGATGTAGTGGATTTGAGAGCGATCGAAACCGGAACTAATAAGCCGACGGCAAATTATAGAGATCTTCACCGAAAGAGGAACCGCGAATGGGCGTGAGGCGGCAGAGATGGCAAAAGACTTCAATTGGCGATGATTCACCTCCAGCGAACCTCGAGTCAAAAGAATGGGAGCTTCGGGTGAGAGAGAGTCGCGAGGATTCCACATATGATGAGCGATCATATGTGCAAGTTCTGCGTTCATCTGTGGCTTGGGTCTCTGTATATGAGAGGAAGAGTGTGTATCTATATGCATCGGTCGGAGATGGTCGCTGGTGAGGGAAAGAGCCTAGAGCTACTAGCGGTAACGCTCTTGGTGGACTGGAGGTACCCCCGAGGAAGAAGCCTAGGAGAGCAAAGTGTGTGTGCTCGCTTAGTGCCGGGGAGGGTCGATGGTGACCCTGGGCAGCCATAATGAAAAAAAAAGAGGAAAAAAATCAAAAAATAAAAATTCATAAAAATATTATAAAATTTGTCTAGGTCAGCGCCGGTCGTGTCATATGGAACGACTGGCATCCATGTTGGTCAAAATGAACCGAATGGACTCAATTAATAAAAAAATAAAAATTTTAAAATTAAATTGATCCAATTGAAATATTTATAACTGAATCGGTACCAACGGAAGAAATATAAGACTTTTTTGGTACTATCCCCAATGTTATCACATCATAGACATGGAAGCGGGACAGGTTTTGGATGGCGACCTCACTAAAAAGTAGTCCCACAACCCGCCATAATAATTATCGATGATTTTACGATAAATAAATAAATAAAAACTTCAAATGCACCGTCACAACTACTCAATTGAGACTCACGAGTCGTAAATCTCCAATTATGAGACCACAGACAATCCGGTAGGTACGATGCACCCTCACTAACCAGATTGCCCAATTGACATTTCATTATTACTCATTATTACAAGACGCACACCACATTTTCCGCTCCAGACCATAATGTAAGAAACGAAAAGTAAATCAGACAAAACCTGTTGGGTAAATTGTTCGGATGGACGTGCACCATTTCATCCTTGGAGATTTGGCCACTTTCCAAGATAATGGTCTTGAGTTTGTTCAAAGCAAACTGGGCGTTCGTGTAATTTACTCATAATCAATCTGTCCCTCCTTAATAAGAAAAAGAAAATCAATATCTCTTTATAAAGTAAAGTCAATCTTTTCTTAACAAGACCAAGCAAACGCAGATCTCATGCAAGATTCGAATGTTAAAAGAGCTTTTTCCTTTTTCTTCGTGTGGAAAATCTCTTGATCCAAAAATCTTGGTTATAGATTTTGCGTGCATGCGTTTCGCTGCTCATTATTAAAATAGAAGTTTGGTCAACGGCTCATCCGCAAACTCCAATTATTCACAGTAGCTTCCTGCTTTGCCTTTTCCTTATAGAACTGCTTCATTGCCTTTTCCTTATCTTGTCCTCGCTTCTTTCGATTTCAATCCTACCTTTAATGCTGAATTGTATCGTTCCACTTAAAAAAAAAGTTTTAATACAATGAAAAACCCCAAACTGATACATCTATAATAAATTTACTCCAAACTGATTTTTTACCACAAAAACCGGTACATTTGTGATAAGTTTACCTGCCGTTAGTTTCCGTTTAATTTTACCTCCAAATTTCTGAGTCGGATGACACGTGACAGTTGACGAGCATAACAGTTTGGGGTTTTACCCCTCCGTTTGTCACATGTGTATCAATTTGTGATTTTCGTGGTATTAATCCAATTTTACGAAAAGTAAATGTTCACAAGTATATATGTTTAGGGTTTTTTGTGGAATTAATCCAAGATTGAATGTGTAGTAGTAGAGGAAATTTTAATAAACATAAGTTTTCAAAAAAGAATTTATGTATAAAGCCCATGTGAAGCATGATTAGTGTATCATAGGTATTTTTTTTGGGAAAATTCCAAATAAGGACCTGAAGTATCATCATTTTCTCAAATAAGAGTCTGAAGTTGATTTTGTGTCAAATAAGGACCTGAAGTGGCATGTCAGTCTCAAATAAAAGCCTGAAGTGATCATGAGAGTTTCAAATAAGGGCATGACTTCGCCGGTCACTGGATGGTGAAATATTTCGGCCGACGACCGGTGAGGTCAAGGACATTTTCATCCAAAAATAATTTAAAATTTAAATAATGTTATTTTTTTTTTTCTTTTTCCTTTTCTTTCTTTTTTCCTTTTCCTTCTTTTTTCCTTTCTTTTCCTTTTTTCCTTTTCTGATCTTCTCTTTGTTTAGCCGGTGGCCGGTTGCCCGGCCACCGGCGAAGCCCGGGAAGGGCTGGATGAGGGTCGCTCTCGCCGGATTTGGGCGAGGCCACCCTCGAAAGCCATTGGTGAGGGCCGACCTCGCCAGCCACCTGTCGCCCAGGAGAGGCCGGCCCTTGCCTGTAGCTTTGGAGGGTGGCCTCACCAAGTGCGAGGGTCATCTCGCCGAGATCCGGCGAGGCCATCCCTCACCGGTAGCTGGGGAAGCGACCCTCGCCTGTTGCCGGCGAGCCCATGGTCAACGAGGACGGCCTCGCCCAGGCGAGGCCGTCCCTCGCTTGTTGCCGGCGAGGCCACCCTCGTCGAGCCTTCCCCGGGCTTCGCCAATGGCTGGCTGGAAGCACAAAGAGAAACTAGAAAAAGAAAAAAGGAAAAAAAGAAAAGAAAGTAAAAGAATTCAAAAAAGTTAAAAGACGTAAACACCCTCACCATTCAGAAAGTTAAGTCCTTATTTGAAATAGAAATAGCCACTTCAGGCTTTTATTTGACACAAAATTCACTTTAGTCTCTTATTTGAGAAAATGACGACACTGCAGGTCCTTATTTAACGCAAAGTCCACTTTAGATTCTTATTTGAGAAAATGAGGGCACTTCATATCCTTATTTAGAATTTTTCCTTTTTTTTTTTTGGTCGATTATCATAGGTATTCATTACATGTAAAACCTAACATTGAGTTACTTCAATTTTCCTATGCATATGAATGTATGTATGTGTGTATGTATGTATGTACTTGCATAAAACTAAAACGGGGGGCCTAGGATCACTTGCATGGAGGAGGGAAAGGAAAAGAAAAGAACAGAAAATCAGTGGACAACATTTAGAATTCATGTCCTCTGAAAGAATGGGCTGAGCTACACTTGTTCTTGCACTGTCCATGAAGCAATTGTTGGATGTCATATCATCTCACAAATTAGCAAACAAACTAAGTCAAGAATTGTCTCTGAACCAAGCAATTTGGAGATCATTCGATAAACCACAAGTTCAATTCCTAAAACTTGGGACCTTCACCCGTTTTCTCCTCCAAAAACTCTATAAAGTCTCTCTTTCAATGTTCAAACTTCCATAGCTCCCCAAAGTTTTGATCAAAGGAAACCAAAACAAAAACACTTCTCATTAGCTACGAAATCAATAAAAAAATGGTTAACTTCAGTTACATTGCTCTCCTTGTTACTCTCGCGTTCCTTATACAAGCTCTTCCTTCTTCTGCTACTACTCCTCTTCAGGACCTTGATCTTCTTAATCCCCAACATCCGAACTGGGTCAAGGGGGGGTCCGAGGCCTTCTCCATGACCGATGTCTTCAAAGCGCTGTATGCTTTCGGCGAGTCCTTGACAGACACCGGAAACGCGATGTTTATGGGCATGCTCAGGAATGCCCCGAGTGGCTCTCAAGGCGCGTCCGGTTCATCCCCCAGCGGTAACCATCTCTGCGACGGGAAGTTGTTGATAGATTTCGTGTGTGAAGCTCTCGGCCTTCCCCCGGTTCCCGCGATCCAGAATGCTTCCGCGAACTTCACATTTGGTGCGAACTTTGCCGTGGCTGGATCGACCGCCCTCCCGAGCCACTTCTTCACTCAGAATAACTTTCATAGCTGGTTCTTGAACGCCATTCCAAAGGGTATCGAATTGCAAATAGATTGGTTTCACAGGTTCCTACAGGATATGGCAGGCCAAGGAACTAGCCACATAGCCGGAGGAGGAAGCGTAAGCGGAAGTGGAAGCATGACGGGAAGCGGAAGTGGATATGGGAGCGGAAGCATGAGCGGTAAGATTAGCGGAAGCGGAGACGGAAGTGTAAGCGGAAGTGCGGGGGGAAGCGGAAAGATGAGCGGCAGTGGAGACGGAAGAGTGGGTGGAAGCGGAAGCGGAAGTGGAAGCAGCAGCGGAAGCGGAAGCGGAAGCGTGACTGGGACTGGGAGTGGAAGTGGGCATGGAAGCGGAAGCGGAAGCGGAGATATGAGTGGAAGCATGACCGGCAGTGGTGGAGGAAGCGGAAGCGGAGGTGGCAGCGGAAGCGGAGGCGTAAGTGGAAGCGGTGCTGGAGGCGGAGGTGCAAGCATGAGCGGAAGTGGAAGCATAACCGGAAGGGGAGGGGGCAGTGGAAGCGGAAGCGGAAGCATGACCGGTAGCGGTAGTGCAAGCGGAAGTGTGAATGGTAACGTAAGCATCCACATGGAAGGTTCGCTGTTTTGGATCGGAGGGATCGGTTTAAGCGACTACCCTCGCCTGCTCGGCTCGTCCTCCATCTCCAGCCAGTGGTTCAACCAGCACTCTGTTGATCAAGTCTGCAATCTTGTTAAGGTATGCAACACAAACAAAGAACTCAAATTGACTCAAAATGCAGGAACATGAAATCAAGCGATCCCATTCACATACTAATGCATGCAATTATCCAATGCAAACAGGCGACGCTGGAAAACGGCGCACGGTACATCGTCGTTCAAGGCCTGCCTCCATGCGGGTGCTTCCCCGTGTCCCTAGCTTTGACCCCCACCTCTGACCGTGACCACCACGGCTGCTGCGCCAGCGCCAATGCCATGGTGACGGCCCACAACGAGCTGCTCCAGAAGAACCTGGCCAAGCTGCAGCAAACATACAGCTCAGCTTCCATCGTCTACGCTGACTTCTGGAAAGCGTACATGAACATCCTCGAGAACCACGACAAGTACAACTTTGCCGAGCCCTTCAAGGCGTGCTGCGGGGCCGGCAGCGGGGCCCTCAACTTCAACATCCACCACCTGTGTGGCTCGGCCAACACTGCCGCCTGCAGAGACGCCACACAGCACATGATCTGGGACGGGATGCATCTCACGGAGGCCATGAACAAGGAAGTCGCCAACCAGTTCCTCCACCACGGTTGCACTAACCCTCCATTGCAGGACATCATCAAGAAGAAGATGGGATGAGTCTCGAGTTAAATCAATGTTTCACTGCGTTCGTGCATATGGACCTTCGACTCCGAGTGGCTGCGTTAGGTCGCCGAGTTAAGTTCCTCCTTTTTCCTTCGGATTTATCTGTTCGTCGAGTTTTGTTAAATTCTTCTTTCTTAGTTTGGACCTGGGATGCAATTGATCCCATCTATAAGAAATGATTGACTATTTCTAGCATTCAAGTTGGAGGGATGGTTCAACTAGTTGCTTACAGTATCCTTTACATTTCCACGCATGTCATCTCCAGTTACAAGGGTCAGTTTCAGTCGAACACAAGTCAAACGTTCCAAGTCGCATACATATCGATGCGGGCAGAGTAGATATCACAGGTTCACTTAACTTTTAAGTTTCAGAAACAGAGTCAAAGAGGACAAAGTTTGATGGCCAAGTCCGGGAAAATCAAGGCACCCTGTTGATCATTTCCATGAGGAATCTAAAATATGAGGAACTAAAAACAAAAAAGAATAAACAAAATCTGTCATTTTGGAATGATCTTACACTCCAAAGGATTTGACCCCAAAAATAAAAAAAAAAACAGAAGAGAAACAGCTCACAGACTCTCTCCCAAGTCTCACGTAGTGGTCTGAAAGAAGTGGTCCAGAATGAAACTGGTCACAAGCGTCAAATTGGCACCCTTGTAAATGTCAAAAATGGCAAGCCTCTAGAAAAACGCCAAGTGCAGACAAAATCAAAAGACCGGTACCGTTCATTTCTTACATACTAAGTCAAAAGAAAAAATTTAATAGCCTCACATTAATCTCTCCATTGTACAAACACTAGTCCTCCAGACCCAGGCACAGATTGCAGGTCCCAGGAGGCTGTGAAATTTAGATATAGCAAAGCTCACTCTAGCCTACCAGGTACGATACTACTTTGGTTCAAACATTCAAACCAGAATTGTTCCAGTCAATCTGTAAATTGTGAACCAAATATTAATGGCCTGGAATAAACCCGGAACACAGGTCGCTTCCAGTTTTGGAACATGTAATAATAGATCGTGTAATTGCCCAGTCAAGCAAAACTAAGAGTATTAACCAGCCATCCTAGATATCCATGCTATGTCGAACCAGTAGCGACCCGAGATTGACATGGACCACCTTTCGAATATGGCTAACAATTCGGCATTCCCGACAAATCGCCAGGTACATACTACTACTCCATGTAATTCACCATTGTGACCAGAATCCAAGTTCCAGAAATGAAGACTCACAGTATAATCAAATATCTTGCATTTGTGCAGATAAATGTTTTGACAAGTACAATGTGGAACTAATTATTCCATAAATCAGAGAGAACTTTTCTTACCAGACTCTATCTACATCCGACGGTCGGCCTTTCGCTTTTAATCTGTACAGCAGTGGGCATTACTTTGATCATATCAGGTATTCGTAATAAACTAAGAAAAGAGCATCTGGGCTATCCTTTGGCAAGCTATTGATGTAGAGATAGAAACGTAGCAAGTCCTCTTTAGAGACCGTTTCCGCATCAACCACATCTTCATTGCAAGTGAGCACCCATAAATCTTCAGACTTCACTCTTTTCAAGCTTCCACGACAAAAGGGGCAAGACTCGGACTTCACATTCCTGAGATTTGACCAACAATAATAAGAAAACAAATGGACACTTCGAAAAGTGAAAATGAACCGACAACATTGGCGTGGCAGCAGAGGTACTTACCAATTCCGATAGCATTTTATGCACATTGCATGGCAACAATTTGGCAACACCATTTTGGTGCAGGGTTCCAAACAAATCCCGCATTCTTCTTCTCTCTCCAAATCTACATTGGCCAACCTAAAGTCACCTTCCACTTTCTTCTTGCCCACAGGCTCCATAGCCAGATGCTTGCCTTTGACATCATCCAACTCTTCCGTGTCACCATGTAGCCGTCTAAGAGATGGCAATATAACAGCTGCAATTGCATAACAAACAAGGTTCAAAATTCTGGCCAACCGCAATCAGGATTCTTACTCGTTAATCCTCAAATAGAATTAAAGAGAAGTTCTGAGCCATACAGTAGAAGTCCCTTATTGTTGCCTTCCTCCCATGTGTAGATATATTGGGTCTTCCATCACTATAAACCTAGCAAAAGCAACTGGAACACTCAATAAACATGTACAAACAATTAAGCAAGGAGTTATATGTCTATGACAGTTTCGGATTCTTCAAGCTGGTGGAGATACCTTGTATATGAGTATGTGGAAGAGGTCTAAGTATCTGGGTAGCAGACAAGTGCAGGAGCAATCCATCCATTGTAGCAGAAACAAGAAAAGCGGAGCCAAGTGATTGTAGACCAGTTTCATTTGAAGGCGAGCGCCGCCCTTTGCCCTCGGAATCGCAGCGGCCCTGATCACGGAGAACTTCAATTTCAGAACAGAAAAAGAAAAAACCCCGTCGAGCAGATTATTCTCATCCCCCCTCAAAAGTTCATCTCTTTCCACAGCTCCGCGAGTGGCAAGACAGACTAATTTTCCCTAACTTCAAGGCAGCAAATTACACTGCGAATGATCAAACAATACTGCTAGACCAGATAGGTCAACAAATTCATGTCGGGGATTAGCTCTTTAACTCGTTTCGCTTAGAACACTTGATGAAAAAGACCGAATATTACAGCCCAAAAGCGCCAATTTCACCAACAATCTCTCACTCTCTCTCTCTCTCAGTTTGGAGAAAGTTTCCAGTTACTGTTCGTGGGTTCCATAATTATCGCGCGTAGAATCAGGAAGAAAGCTGTTGACAACACACAAAAGCAACAATGACCCCAGGACATAGAAACCGAAGGAGCTACATAGAAGGGGGAAAATAAGGAAAAATTTTACAGGTAAAAGCAGAACAAACGCACCTCAGAAAAACAGTAACGGGAACGAAAATCAGTAAATTTTGGGAACTCACAGAGCGTTAGCGTGTTGTATATCAGCCTCTAACACTTTCAGCGAGTCCTGGTATGAAGACGACCTGGCCAGCTGGTAATACACCATCTCCATCTCCCCTCTCCCTCTCCCTCCCTCCCTCTCTCTCTCTCTCTCTCTTCAATAACAAGGGAAACAGAGCAGCAGAAGAAAACCCTTCGACAGAACAGCACAGGAAAAAGACGGACAAGGGCAAGAAGAAGATGGGTCTGGCGAAACAGGGGAAACAGGGCAGGAGAAGGAAAACCCTCGACAGGACAGGACAGAACAGAACAGGAAAAAAGGATTGACGAGAGCAAGAAGGAGAAGAAGATGGCCTGGTGATATTGGGGACCTAATCTCCAACAAGGACAAGCGGAAAAAAAGGATTTTATTCTCCTCCCCCTCTCTCTCTCTCTCTCCAGCTTTCTATCCAACCTTTCGCTGAAGTGGGGCTGCTCTGATTGCGACTGTTTTTCGTTCTTGGTGGCTTCTCCTTTTCCCACGGAGGGTCAGAAAGAGAGAATGCCAAGGGCCCTCTTTTCTTCCTGTGAGAATTCTCGCGTTTGCTTCTATGGCGATGGAGGTGGTGGTGGTGGTGGTGGTGGTGATGCTGATGATGATGATGATGGAAGGAGATTGTGCCTTGCTTTGGTTTAGTTGCCCCTTCATCAATCCTCTGTTTTATTATTATATGTTTGATGGGGATAAAGAAATTGTCTCTGCGTTTTGCTTTTGGATTCCTCCTCTGCTTTGGAAGGAAAAAAATGGGTCAAAACTGCACCTAATCCTTCCTTCCTTCCAATTACTTTACTAATAAAAATGCCCCATCAAACCCCATAATCAATCTTGATGCCTCCATTATTTTATTCAGGTCGCCAGGGCACGCCTTTCGTAATATTTAATTCACTTGATTCGATACATAAACATGCAATTTCATTCGCTCAGCTAACAGCTATCTTATGATTTCGAACCATTCATTAGAAGCGACTCGGAAGTATAGCGATAGAAAGCTAGCTATGCTGAAAAATAAGATGTCGATTCGAAAGGAAAGAGAGATCGTTCGGACCCTGTTGAGGGGCGAAAAAAATCGAATACCGTGATCGGTCAATCGAGATTATAATGTAGGTGGACTTGACATGCAATAACATTAAAGAAGCCTCATTTCTTTTTTGCCCCTTCCTCCAACAACTCTCTTTGATCAAATCGATTCTGGTCGTATAGTATTTATGTCCCGGTTGTTTACCCAACTAATCCCCCCACGGCCCCTTCCAGCCGGGGCGCACATCCATCATTGCCACTCAATTGGCTAAATTCCTTCTCACTTTTCCAAAATAATAATAACAATAGTAATGGAATAGAGAAAATCTCGAGAATCACCTCGTCTTTTTTTATTTTTTTTTTCACTCATCTCCTCTACGTACAACTGCGTTAATTACCCATGGAGATCGAATCCCGAATCCGATACTCTCCAGCTCCATCCCTCAATTTATTTACCAGCAGGGCCCCAATGCCTGTTGGCCGATCGTTATGTACGGAGCGCCATAAAATCATATTTTTTTTTCCGGGAAAATAACCATGCCCCCCGCGATCGAATTGGTCGGATATTTTCCCGGATAAAAAAAAAAGGCACGAAAAATGAATGAATTTTTTTTTTTTTTTTTGGTTGAAGGGATTGAGTGGGATGGGGACCCGTTGGGTGCAGAGTGGGTCATAGTGTGGGTACGCTCCTCCTCCTCCTCCTCCTCATCCTCATCCTCCTCGTCCTCCATGATGATCAGGACGAGAGCGTCATCCAAATATAATGAAAATGATGACGAAAGTGGGTCGCGCACTTTGGATGGATGGTGCGGCCTCGAGACAACCTGAAAGATGGGTGGGGGTGGGGGGTGGGGCTGGGCTTGTCGATTTTTCCCCCGGCATCATCGAACCGCTCCTATAGCCATAATTTGATGGCTGACCCCTTTTCTTCTCATTTTTTTACCCCTTTTTTTTTTATTTTTAAAATTTTTTTCCTTTCTGGGTCTAGGGTCCTCGTTCCATTAGAAATTGGGCGTGGTCCGCACATTGGAACCTGACCAAGAAACCGACCCGATGGCGTGATTGCGGTCACCCAGAGGCCTGCAAGGGGAAAAATTATTACGCAAGTCCTGAACTCGTTATATAAAAATTCAGTTCTAAACTTTTCAATCTGGCAAATTGAGTCGTAAATATCTTGTCAATTTAGTCATTCCGGCCAGTTTTGATCAGAAATCGCTAATGTGAATGCTGGACATTCTATGTGGTACAATCGACGTTGCTCTCGACAAAGGTTGAATCCAAGACTGTAAAGAGACGGATAGACTCTTTTGTCATTTGAGCGCGCGCCTTATTAGTAAACACTCTATATTAAAAAATCACGATTATAGACTTGATTTTGACACCACTTAAATTTAGGCAAAACTCTAATGACATCTCATGCCTCATTTTCCTCATTGGATACGTTCTTGTCAGGTTTTGTATTCTCTTGTACTTGTCCCGTACTTCTTTTCCTTTTTCTCTCTATTTTTCCTTCTCTATTGCTTCACCTTTTACTCATTTTTTTTTTTTATAATCGAGGTGTCAGCGCGGCCGGCGAGCTAGGGCTCAAACCAGCAGTAATGGCCGACTAGTCCTCGAGGGGGACTAGCGCAGTATCCCACCGCCACGACCCCCCACTTAAATCACCGATGGGCGAATTTGAACTCAGGACCTCTCGTGAAAGGAACTGAGCGCAAACCAACGCGGCCACCGATGGGTGGGTACCTTTTACTCATACTTCTTAACTAATTTTGTCAAAAAGCGCTTTTGGAGCATTTGATAATGGGGATAATGACACAAATAGTCCATGAACTTTGACCCAATGTGTAATTTGATCTCTGAACTTTTAATTTGTTCAATGTAATCCCTAAACTTTAGGCGAGTATTCAATGTGGTCCTTGAACTTTTAATTTGTTCAACGTCATCCGTGAACTTTTGGTACATGTTCTATTCAGTCCCTAAACTATATGAAAATGTTCAATGCAGTCCTTCCCATTTATTCAAGTTCAGGGACTGAATTAAACATGTACCAAAAGTTCAGATATGACATTGAATAAATTAAAAATTCAGGAACCATATTGCACATTGGGTTAAAGTTTAGGGACTATATTGAACAAATTAAAAGTTCAAGGATCAAATTGCATATTATGTCAAAGTTCAGGGACTATTTGTATCATTTTCTCCTAATAATAATATGATCATATGATAAAGCAAACTACTTAACAATTAAACACGAAAAAAACTAATAAGCAATTTATCGAACACGTGACGTGCGTTTAACAAAAGAGTTAAGGGATGCACAAAAACTCCGCCGATTTATAGTGGTTTGGCTCCAGGTCGGTGTCTACTCCAGTCCTTGAATCCGCTTGGGAGTTGCGCCCATTCCACTCGTCGAATGCTGATACAAGAGTTGGTTGTTCATGGAGCAAATTCTCCTTTACAACTTGGCCACAACCGTTTAATAGCTCTCTTACACTTGAATCTCTCGTTAAAAATGTGTGCACTCGATGATTTTCTTTCCAAAGAGTATACAAGAGGGAAAGGGATCGATAGTGCAACAATCTGTCATGATCGGCCAAGCCTAAGACGCTAAGGAGTCTTAGTCATAGAGATACAAGCTTAATTAGACGTTAATCACGCTTAAAACGGCTAATTTTTTGACCATTACGCCTTCCGGACGCTAGCCTGAGGACCGCCGGTCCCAAAAAAATGCCCTAAAGGATGTCGGTTTTCATGCAAGGCGCCTTCCACCAAACCTGTGTGTTTGGTCATCCAATTTTGCGGTTTAGGAACCTCGCGAGAACCCTTGCTTTAAACACAAGTAGCAATAAATACAATTAAACATAATTGCAGATGATTTTGAGATCATCAAAAGTAATTCGAGGTCGACAATATGCACAGTCAATATTTTGGAAATTAGTTACTTCGTTCTTGAGAGTTTTTAACTAGCGCTCGAGGAGCACTTGAGACCTTTTCTTAATTAATAATATGTAATGTAATTAACCCATGTCGGAAAGTTAACTTTGTCAATGTTCTGGGGGACCCATGTTCTTTCCTTTCTTGAAAATTTCCATTCTTTTCTCCTTTTCCTCTCCTTTTCCCCAATTTCTCTTCACTTTCCATTAACTACCTCAGAATCAAATATATTTTTGATGTTAATTTCATTTATACAAAAAGAAAAATTTTGTGTAGGTAAGTTTTTATTTTGAAAGTGTATTTTTTTTTGTTTTTCATAATCAGAAACGTAATTTGGTTATCTCTATCTCTAGTTTTAAATTAGTCAAATGTTTTTAATTAATTAGACTTTTGCTTACGTATGCTTAACAACAATGTTACTGTTGGGAATTAAGAAATATGAGCATCTTTCATTGTAATGTTCTCAAAAAATAAATCCGTTCCTCTTGTTTATTTTAAAATATATTTTAAAAGTACCAAGCAATAAAATAACATAAGAAATATTATTAGAAGTTAGACATGACAAATATTGTTTAATAAAAATAATGTATTACTATTAAGTGTAACTAAATTGTATTGAAAATTGTTTAAATAAAGTGAAAACACTTTAAATCATTTTGTTATTTGTAAACGGAAACAAAAATAAACATAACCAAACGACACCCTAGTTTGCCATGAACATGGCTTATTGTCTTTTTTTCCTTTTAACATGTTTGTAAATTATTTGTCTTGCTAGTAAAAGTGAATCGCCAAATGTGTAAGCAATCTTAGTTTTAGAATAAAAACTCTTTGAGATAGCTATATTTAATATGAAAACACCACAAATTTTTTAAATATATATAATTTTAGCATAGAAGGACATTAAATACTTTTTTTTCTAAAACTTTAACAAATTGGCATAATTCCAAAAAAAAAAGCTCCAACTTTATCTTGAATGACAAATCTGTCATGAACTTATTTTTGTCTAATAAAAAATCACTAATTTTTACTCGAGTCCTAAATCCGCTCGAACAGTTTGAAAATTTTACATCACGGAGTCGATTTGGGATTCGAGCAAAATTAATGCTTTTATTGAGATAAAAAAAGTTCGAAAAAGAATTATCGCTTAAGGCCGTGTTCGTTTGCGGAAAAATATTTTCCGGAAAACATTTTCCGCGTTTGGGGCGGAAAATGTTTTCGTGAGAAAACATTTTCCTTCCCACACCCAAATCCTTCATTGTTTTGAGGAAAATGATTTCCTTTTTCACAAAGAGGAAATCATTTTCCCAAATTGAAGGCAAAATTGCTCATGGGAGGAAAATGTTTTCCGGAAGAGGAAGTTGATTGCCGTCACCGCTGCCGCCCGCGATTGCGGCCAAATTCGCGCCGCCGGCTGCCCTTTTTTTATGCGGCCGCTGACTCGCCGCGCCGGCGCCCCGCCACGGCCGGAAAAATATTTTCCAAACTTTTCATATTGGTCGCGAACACCGGAAAATTATGTTCGGAAAATATTTTCAGAAAATAACTTCGAAAATATTTTCCAAAAGGAGAATATTTTCCAACGAACGGAGCTAAGATAAAGTTGATGCTTTTTTCTTTGGAATTAGCCCTTAAAATCAAA